CTCTGGTTCCTCTGCCTTTTCTAAATCCAGCTTGAACATCTGGAGGTTTTTATACCTTAGGTTTGTGCAAAGCAAGGTGAACCTGTATGCAACTGTGCTGTCTTACCTTTCCTGCCTTCATCTCAGTGGGCCACCCCATTTTTCTGGGTGTCACTCTGTTGTCAGGTCCCTGAGGCTGGTGACCTTGGCTGTACCTTTGGTTTATTTTTTTCCAGCATTTCCACCCACAGCTAATAATCATGGCCTCAGGCATCTTCCTAGACGAGGTTTTTTTCTCTCAGATGTTCTTTCCTGCTGCTAGCCCTTCTAGGACAATATTGCTTAACATCTAAGCCCGAGTGTCCCCATTTTCATGGTGATAAGAATCACCTGTGGCAACCTCTGTAAACACAGTGTCTTGGGCCAAGTCCCCAGGAGAGTTTGATCTGGGGTGTTGCCAAGTGTCCGCTGAGCTGTCCTGTTCCCCTCCCGACTCCCTCCCTCCCTCCCCTGCCCCAGCCTGGTCCCTGAGCAAGGAGACTGAGTTGTCTCCTAAGGTCACTGGTTCCCTCTCTTCTGCTTGTCCCCTGCTGGTTCCTTGCTCTTGATTTCTCAGTCACCCAGACCACCTCTTCCTTTCTGAAACCCCTTTGACCACTTAGTATTGTCCGACGTTCAGGACTTGCCCAGGCTCCTTCAGCCACTTCTCCAACTGAATCCTTCCTTCTTCCTTAGAGCAGAGGATGCAGAAAGGTGGCCTGTGGCCTGACAGGTTTTGTTTCTCATCTGGTCTTTTACAAGCAGGAAAAAAGTCTGAGGCTCCACAGCCTGGGTAGCGGTGGCCCTTAGGCAGAGAGCAGCTGGAGGTTGGTGGCTGGGCCCTTTGGCCGGCCTTCAGTGCAACACAGTTCTCACTACTCTTTCCTAGACAACCTCTTTCTCTTTTCCATCACTTCCCTGGCCTTGGGGCATTTGAGCCCTGGACCACCTTTTGGGAGAGGCACTGTTCCCTTCTGTCTCTTTGCCATGCTCTTTCCCACTGGGAATTTTGTTCCCCTCAGAATTCTACCCCTCACCCAAGTTTCCACTCCTATCCTGCCTGCTTTGAAAACCCTTCCCTCTGCCTTCGCCTCAGCCCCCATAAATGCCTGCCCTCCTCCTCAACACTTTCTCCTCAATCCAGTTGTTGAAAAATGCCTTCTACTGTCACCAACTGTGGTTCCTTACTCTTGTCTAGATGGAGAGTTTGTCTTCTTGACAACCCCACCCCACCCCACCCCCCATACCACGCATGACATACATCTTTCTTCTTAAGCCCTTTGACAGGGCTTAGGCATAGACAGGAGCTAGCTGTCTTGGCTGTGTTATTCAGGAAACATACCTGGAGCTTCCCAAGCAGCCTCTTAAAGTTCTCCTATAATTGCTCTATTGTGCTAAAGTAGTCAGTCCACTACTAAATTTCTCCATTGATTTGGTAGGAAAGCATCATGGAGCATGGACTTGCATCAGGCTACCTGGCTTCATGTCTCTGCCTTGCCACTGAATAGCTCTGTGACCCTAGGCAAGGTACTTGAACTCTCCAAGCCTCAGTTTCCTCGCTTTTATGTATGTTTGTATGTATATACATATATATCTTTTAAAATTAAAAAGTTTCTTTTATTGAGGTATTCTTGATTTACAGTATTAAGTTTCAGGTGTATAACACAGTGATTCACAATTTTTAAAGGTTATACTCCCTTTATAGTTAATATAAAATATTAAGTATATTCCCTTCACTGCACAGTATGTCCTTGTAGCTTGTCTATTTTTACAGAGTAGTTTGTGCTTCATAACCCCACCCCTTTCCTACCCCTCCTCCCTTTCTTCCTCCCACTGATAACCACTAGTTCTCTGTATCTGTGTGTGTGTGTTTTGTTATATTTACTAGTTTGGTTTTTTGATTCCACATATAGGTGATGTCATACAGCATTTGTCTTTATCTGTCAGACTTATTTCACTTAGCACAGTGCCCTCAAGTTCATGTGTTGTTGCAAATGGAATAATGCAACAGCAGTGCCCCCCTGTGTGGGCAGGCAGCTGTGGGAAGAGCCTGGGCCTAGCTCAGAGCTGAGAGGGGTCTCTCCCACGTCCATAGACTGGACCCCTGAAAGGGGCCTTGCCTACTGACAGTCTCTTGTGAGGCCTCCATGACGTGATCTGGACTGTTGGTGGAGGCTGTGGCTCGCAGGTGGGATCTGAGAGCAGCAATGGGTATGGTCACTCCAATGGGAGATAAGACTCTGGCCTAACAGGAGTGGACCGGGAGTAGGAAAGTGTGCCCGTGGGGACCGCGGTGTACCTGAGGGCGTGTCATTTGGATGCATCTGCAGGTACCCTCAGTGGCCCCATGTTGCCTACAGAGCAAAAAAATCAGAGTCCCAAAGGAGGGTCCAGTGTCCTTAGCAGGCTGATCTCAAGCCACCTTCTCGCTCCTGTTCCTCCTGGTGATGCTCCCCACACTCTCAAGGTGTAGCCACACTGAGCCAGTTGCAGTTAGTGATGACAACACTCTTGGCAGCCCCACTAACTGCATGCCTTCCTATTGCGCTAAGCACAGTACTCGTTTAACTTGGTTAACCTTCAGCAGGATCCTCAGAAGTGGCTAATTTCATTCCAATTATATGTTTGAGGAAACTGAAACACAGGAAGTTAACTCACCCAGGTCATACAACTAGTAAGGGTGAGCCCAGATTTGGAGCTGAGCCACCCAGGAAAAGAGCTCGGGGTTAACTTCCCTTGTTGCCATCCATGCTCCTGACAAAGGCTGCACTTCCGTGCTGCTTGTGCCTTTGCCTGTCAAACTCGGTCACACAGCACCTCCCCTTCCAAGCCTTTTCTGGCCACTCCCTTTTCTCCCAGCACCTACCCAACAGGAGTCTCTCCTGGTCTCCTTTCTAGTTTGTACCCATCTTTGTTATGACAGTGAGTAGTTTTAAGTCATACTTAATTATCTTTCTGCTTCCCTACTGTGTAGCATCAATTCTTGTGGAGCATCTACACATCCCTGTTTTTAAATTGGATCCCCACTGATGGCCCACAAGGCATGCAGATTTAGTTTTATCAGAAACCTGAGTCTGTTGATTGCATCTTTAGAAACAGAGACAAGAGTAAAACACTTCTGAAATGTTACAGGGTTAGGGAATAAACCTCCCAGGGTTTGCAATTGTGAACTAGCTAGAAACAGAGGAAAGAACTGCTGGTATTCATGAAGTACCAACTACAGCCCTAGGAAAGGTATGTATTGTCCAGGGAGAAATACAGATTAGAAGAAAAGAAGTGGACATACACTGTATAGACCAGGCCCTGAGATTCTGTTACCTTCTTTGATCTTCCTGACAACCCACATGGAGATAGTAGGGTTCTCGTGTTAGAGAAGAGATCCAGGCTCAGCCAGGTCTGGTGGCTGAGCCAGGTCTAAGGAGTGCGGATCCAACCTGAGATCCATCTTTTCTTTCCTCTACGTCCAGGGAAACAGAACTTGGAAAACACAAGACAGTCCTTGATCTCGGGGAATCCTGGCCAGTTTGGAGAGACAGTACTGGGGCTGAGTGCTTTAGGGGTTTGGAGGAGAGGGGTTGCCTGGGTTGGTAGAGTTGGGGGAAGGGGCATTCCAGGGGACTGAGTGAGCAAAGCTTGGAGGAAGTATGTTCACGGGTGGCATCAGTCTGCAGTGGTGTTTTAAATCCCACTCTGGAGAGATGTGGCTTCTAGGCAGTTCTAATTTCTGAGCAAACCCGCCAGACACCTTGTAGCTCTCTGCTAGTCTAAGTCCTCAATCGCTTATCAGAAATCCTGGCACCAAATCTGTTGTGGAATAAAGATTCTGCCTGATTTTACGGAGGCAATATTGTCCACCTCACACACCAGGTACTAGCCTAAATCAGAAGGCTCTGGGATGGATCACAGCTTGCAACAGGCTTTCCATTTCTGCAGAAATCCTTGTTGTGGTCCACAAAGAGGTCCAGGAGCTAGTCTTTGCCCTCTAGTGTGACAGCTCAGGTGTTAAGGAGAGGAGATTCATGTTGAGTGACTGCAGGAACTTCTCTGGTCTAATGAAGCCCCATGCTCCACGGAGGCTGGCCCCTCTAGTAACGATATCATAAACATAGCTCCCAGAGTCCTCACAAAAGTCACACACGCAGGGAAACCCCAGCCGTGGAGTCCCCATTCACAGCTTCTTCCAGTCCAGCTGCAGTTACCATGTGGGTTGTAGTTAACCATAAGCAGTGTTGCTTGGTTATGTATGTAATTGCTCTATTTCTTTTATCTGGTCTCCAGGGGAATAGGTGGATAGGAAATTAACTCATGCTGAAGGGAAAAGGCTTTGTTAACCCTTCACCCACAGTGTATACTGTGTATTTGGTAACATCTCCAGCAGGGTGCTTCCCATAATCAGGTATTAAAAGTCCTGCAGAGAAAGACATTGCATTAATAACAACACAAAGTGAGATAATTCGATGAAATGAACTTCACATCGCTCAGGTTAAGTTTTTTAAAAATTATTTTTGGCTGTGCTGCATGGGCTTTTCTCTAGTTTCAGTGCTTGAGCTTCTCGTTGCTGTGACTTTTCTTCTTGTGGAGCATGGGCTCTAGGATGTGAGAGTCAGTAGTTGCAGTTCGCCAGCTCTAGAGCACAGGCTTGGTGGTGGTGGCTTAGTTGTTCAGTGGCGTTGTGGTGTCTTCCCGGACCAAGGATTGAACCCATATCTCCTGCATTGGCAGGTGAGTTCTTTACCATTGAGCCACTAGGGAACCCTTCAGGTTAGGTTTTGTACCAATTAAGTTACATATAACCTTCCAGGGTTCAGAGCGTTAGGAGTTGGGCAGTATTTGGAAAGAGATCACAGACTGAACGCATTTTGCCCTCTTAAATTCCTTGGAACATGAAAGAAGTGCGAGTTGCCTGCCTTACCGCTAGAGGGCACCTGGTTACTATCATTTTCCCCCAGGATCCTTGCTAACAGAAGTTTTCCTCACTTCAGCTTGCAGATGCCAGCAAGTTACCTAACCTGAAAGAACTTCTTCAGTCTTCAGGAGAAAAAGACCCGTGGGCTTGGGACCTGATGAGCTGGATTTTATCCTCAAAGGTCCTGACAATCCACAGTGCAGGGAAGTCGGAGGTGAGACTTTGGTGTATAGGATCACAGATTCCTGAGCCTGGAGAGCTGTGGGAGCTCTTTGTGCACCAGCGTGACCTGGGCAGCTTGTTGGAAATGTAGGTTCCTGGACCCTGTCCCCAGAGATTCTGATTCTATGTCTGGAGCGAGATTCTGATTCTGAGTTTGCATATTGGCAGGGCAAAGCTGTGTTCTCCCTCCTCACTAGCCATGTGACATTGAGCGGGTTACTGGGCACATTTCGGTACCTGAGTTTTCACTCTGTAAAATGGGGATAATAATAGTATGCTTCCATCAGTGAACTGGCTCTGAGAATTAAATTAATATTCTCACTTAGAATAATACTTAAGGATACATGCTAAGGGCTCAGAAAATGTTGGCTATCACAAGCACCTCAGATATTTCTAACAAGGGGGGGATCCTTGACCACAGCTTAAAACATTCCAGCTCTCAGGAAGCAATGAGGCAGACCGAAGTGATGGATAACCTCAGGCTCTCGGTTCAAATTCTATCTATTATTTAGTCTTCTTTGCCCTCTTTGTAAATTGAGAATATTAACAGCTCAGAAGGGAGCTATGACAGAATGTGTGTCATCCCCAGCATAGTTTCTGGTACAGGGCAGATGGTCCGTAATTTGGCTTCCCTTGCCTGGTTGGGATCTTGCAGGGACAGGCTGGGACAACAAGGGTCAAAGTGTAGACTGACAGATCGCTGATCTGGTGTTCTTACCTCTAAGTGGTAACAGGGGTTTGTCTGTACCATTCTTCACTTAATCATTTTTAATTTAAGAGCATTTGATTTCATAAGTTCCTCCTAAAGACAAAAATGCTCCTTAAGTGGCATAGATTTTGGTATCTTGGTTTCTGGTGTCTAGGGACATCCTCCATCCATGATGGGTGGTAAGAAACATCAGCATCCTGGAGTGGGAGTCAGGATACCTGTGTTCAGGTCCAGGCTGGGCTGCTAACTCCTAGATGGTCTTTGGGTTTCACTTTTGTCATCTGTTAAATTTAGATTTACTCCTTCCTCATTAGGGGTTTACTGGCTGTTGGGTGTTGTAGGCAAAGTAGATAAAGCAATTGCTTCTTGATGTTTGATTATAGAGCAGTTAAGTTCCATTAATATATGAAGTGTTGGGATCCAGGATTATCAACTTTTTATTTGCCGTGCCCAAGTAAGGACATTAGTCTACCGCATATTATTTTAAAAAAGGATATTTTAATATGAAAAAGGGACGGTGGCCCTGACCTCCGGCTAAAGGATAGTTCTTTTAAAGAAGGGCTCATGGCAACCTTACATCAGTGTAAATATATCTGTGAAATTGCCCTTATTTTTGTCATTTAATGATAACCCAGAGAAAACTTTACCACAGACTGACTTTGGTCTGGGATGTACTGTTCGAAAATTTCAGAAATGATGTGGTCTCTGCCCTGAAGAGCATTATTACCCCTTAGGAAGGAGTTCATCCTTGCATGTCAGTTGACTTCTGCTGCATCACAAACCATCCCCAAAATCTACTGGCTTGAAACAACATGGACTGCTGCTCACGATTCTCTGCATGGGTCGGGTGGTTCTCCTGAGCAGGGCTGGCTCACGTGGGGCTGTCCTAGGGTAACCTCACTTAAGCGTACGGGGCTTCAGCTCTCCCAGCTGAAGGTGGCTGTGGCTGGTGCCTGCTTCTGCAAGGCTGTCATCCTGTAGAAGGTTTGCAGGGCTTGTGAAGTGTTCCCAGCAGCAGACAAGAGAAAGGAAAGCTCTTTTCAAGTCTCTGCCATATGCTTACCAAGGTCCCGTTAGCCAAGAGAAGTGAAGATTTAAAGGGTGGAGAAATTGATTCCATCTCCCGATGAAATCTTGGTGGAATTCCACCTGCAAAGTCACATTGCAGAAAGGTGAATGGACAGGGATGGGAGGAACAATTCATGGCCAGTTTTGTAATTTATCCCACCTTTCTAGCTCCTGATAGTATTGTAAAGATGGAATGCAGGAAATAAATGTGAAAGTGTAATGAAAATTAGATGTGATCTTTAGTTAGAAGGTACAATTCATGCTTCTTAGTTAACCGACTGTAGGGGAAAACACCATTAGAGGAAAGCAGTCTTGAGCTGTAGGCTCTGAACTTGTTTATGAACTGATGTTTTTATTCCTGTGAAACCAGTTGTTCTCATGAACAGAGCCCATAGGAGCTAAGCCCAAGGCTTTAGGAGGCCATTTTGGCAGCACTCTTTACCAGCTTCCCAAATAAAACTGCGACTTCCTGCATGTTTTCAAGTTTGAAAAGATCCAAAAGCTGACTGGTACCCCTCACACGCCTGTCCCTGTGCCGGACTTCCTGTTTGAAGTCGAGTATTCCGACCCAGCCAACGCCAAATTTTATGAGACCAAAGGAGAGCGCGACCTCATCTACGCCTTCCACGGGAGCCGCCTAGAAAACTTCCATTCCATCATCCACAATGGCCTGCACTGCCACCTGAACAAGGTGGGCCCAAGTCTGCTGACACCAGGGGGCCGTGAGGGGTGGTCAGAGCTGGTGAGGGTGGGGGCAGGTAGGTTCACCAAGGTCTTGCCACTCAAAGTGTGGTCTGTTGACCAGCAGCATCACCTAGGAGCCTGTGAAATGCAGAATCCTTGGTCCACCAGACCTGAGTCAGAACCTGCATTTTAATAAGGTCTCCAGGGGATTCCTCTGCTGATGAAAGGTTGAGAAGTGTTTGCTTTAAAGATGGTTCCCAGCCTTGGCTGCACATTTAGAATCGCTTGGGGGAGCCATTAAGAATCCCAATGTCTGGCTACATCCCCATCCAATTAAATCAGAATCTCTGGGAGTGGGGCCCAGGCACCGGTGTGCTTTCAGAGCTCCCCTGGTGGTATGGCCAGCCCTGTCTTCCCAGCATGATCCCTGGACCACATCACTGGGAGCTTGTTGAACACGTGGAATCTCAGGCCCATCCAGACCCCATCATGTGAGAAATCACAATTTAGTAGACTCCCAAGTGATTCATATGTGTGTTGAAGTTTGAGAAGTACTTGCCTCGGGGACCCTCCCAAGAGAGTTAGTCACTGAGGAAATTGAGAGGAGCTCCCTCCTTGAGCTCCCCCGCACCTTTTTTTGAGGGGTGGGGGGCTGTGCTGGGTCATCATTGCTGCACATGGGCTTTCTCTAGTTGGGGCAGGCGGGGCCCACTCTTCATTGGGGGTGCGTAGGCTTGATTGCCCCACGCCATGTGGAATCTTCCCAGACCAGGGGTCAAACATGTGTCCCCTTCATCGGCAGGCAGACTCTTAACCACTGTACCATAAGGGAAGTCCCTTTCCTCCCTTTTTTAAAATGGGCAAATTTATTTAACCTCTCAGAGCCTCGGGGTCTTCATCTGTAAAATAGGATGCCATTCCCCACCTTCTGGTGTCCTGATGGGACTGAAACACTTCTCATATGCAGAGGGCTCTTCCTGTCCTTAAGCACCAAGGAAGCAGGGGCTTCTTTTAGAGGCTGAAGGAGAGGGACTGTGGGGGTGGTTGGAGGGGGCTGCAGCTTCTCCCTTAGTTGTGTCAGCATCGGCCTTGTCTGGGGGCTGGCTCCATGAGCTGTGGACTCGTTTGTAGCTGACGCAGCCCCAAGGCAGGAGAGACTTTTCCAACACTGCTGCAGCTGATTATCGCAGTTGGGTTTTGTTGAGGAGGATGGGCTTGTTTACTCTGGCTCTCAGCTTATTATGGCCAGGCTACTGGAATCCAGGGGCCCTACACTTCACACTAGAGCACATCTGAAGAAGTTGTCTGCCAATTCCAGTCTTGTAACCAAGCCTTCTCCTGGTTGAGGGGTTTGCTGCTTAGAAGCATCTCATCAGAGCCCTTTGGTGAAGTGGATGTTCTTCTGGCCTCTGTCTGAGTTTTCAGTGAGGGGCTTGCTTGAGGGAGCCTGCCTTCTAGCTGAAGCTCTAAGAATGTTTCCTTGGTATAGATACTCCCAAGTTTCCTGCTGTTGCGCTCCCCTGTGCATGGTTCTTGAGTCTAGGGAATTGTGTATACATGGCAGGCATAAGCAGAAATGGGTGTAGGGTCAGATCAGAGAATTACCTCCTTGGAGAAGGTCTGTGCTAGCTTTTGAGCTATGGGGACCTTGTAAAATGGCCAAGCAGAGGCTTGCTTCGTTTCCCCTAAGCTTCACTTAATTGGCTGAGAATTGTGGAAGCCTGGTGCCACTGAATAGGATGTTTCTCAGTTCTCAAGCAGAGGATGTTCAGTGAGTTGTGTAAGGCCGTTCAGTCATCTTAAGATACTGACACTGAGGCCCAGAGATAGAATTTGACTTACAACTTACGTCAAATTCCATCCACTGGTAGCAGTTACTTGGAATGTTGTGCTGAGAAGGAGTCTGAATCGGTATGAATGAGTGCCATGATTGATATATATTTTTTTGATTGATATTTTTAAGTTGGCATCGTGATTGATTATTGATGTCTACCATGGGCAAAGGATGTGTTTGCTATGCCTGCCGTAGCCTCAGCTTGGAGGTATTTCACTTGAGAGATTTCTGTTTTACTTGGCCTGCTTCCTTGTGGAGGACAGCAAGTTAGCACCTACCACCAGTGACCTGCCTCCTAGAATTTTGGACCTTTTCTTGGTCTGCACCAACACAAAACTTAACCCTGCTTCTCATATAGTCCTGCCTTATTTGGTTACAGTGTCTGGTCTGAGAGATTCATTTCTTTTCCAAGTAATGACTCAGATTACTTCCCCATGTCACTTAGGTGTGACCCCCGTGCCCTCCCTGCACATAGGGGCATGACTTTGCTTCTGCAAGCCAGTCAGTGCCACCATGCTTAATCCAGTCGTGTAGCAGGAATTACTGATACCCCAAGACACAAGAGCCTGTGATGGAATACCCACCCCTCTCTTGGGCCAGGTATTCTGTGTGGTGCTTTATGTGCATCGTCTCATTGAATCCTTGCCTATGACCTTGTGAAGAAGAGATTATTATCACCACTTTGTAGGTGTGGAAACTGAGGCCCAGAGAATTTATATTACTTGCTATCTTGTTAGAGGGGTAGGCAGGGTTCAAACATGGGTCCGTTTGGGCTCTTAACACCTGTGTTTTTCTTACTCAGCCTTAAGCACTAGAACTACTAGTTTGCCAGGTTAGTCAGCCACATGCACAATCAGTTATGCTGTGGTTGGATAGGAATGTGTTTTGTAATAACACTGTGATGATGTCATGGGAGTGTTTGATCTTATGTCTTTTGCTGGGGGAAGGAGAGGCTGGAAGACTTTGTGTTAACAACTCTACTGAAGAAAGACCTGTGTTGTTTTGCTGCACCCACTCAGCACTCACCCAGCCCTGTTTGTTTTCTGTTGATCTCCACCGTTCCAGACATCCTTGTTTGGGGAAGGGACCTACCTCACCAGTGACCTGAGCCTGGCCCTCATTTATAGCCCCCATGGCCACGGGTGGCAGCACAGTCTCCTTGGCCCCATCCTTAGCTGCGTGGCTGTGTGCGAGGTCATTGACCATCCAGACGTCAAGTGCCAAACGAAGAAGAAGGGTGAGTAAGCACTTGGCCCTGACCTGGGCTGCAGGCCTCTGGGTGTCAGGCTCTTGCCTTTGACCCAGCTTTTGGGTGGAACACCCATCGCATGGCAGGGGATGGGCTGGATGTAGAGTGGCGTAGGATAGAGCCTGCCTTCAGGGAGTGAGCCATCTTCTTAAGAACTGAACACAAGTGGGAAGGATATCACCTACTACAAGGCAGTAGGTCAGGAGTGCCAGCTGAGGGTGCTGATGGGTCCACGGGATAGCTCAGAGGAGGGGACAGTCACGGTGAGTCCAAGTGCTCAGGGAAAGCTTTGGGATAGAGAAGATGAAAATGAATATGCAAGGCCAGAGCACTGGCTCCTTGGAGGCAGAACCTGGGTCTCATTCACTCTTGGGCACCTGGTGTCAGCAGGGAGCCTGGTACGCACTTGACATCCAGTAAACATTTGCTAAACTGAAGCTAAGGATGCGTCTCAGCCTGTTCCTCCAGGCTGCTCTGCTGTGTGCTGGAGCCCCAGGAGGATGCGAGGGGCAGCTGAGGCCATGGGGGTAAATCCTGGGCTCCCCAGTGAGCAGATGACCAGTGGGCCCCTCGGTGGCCTCTCTGGATCTCCCTTAAAGCTCTCAGACCAGTGGGCTCTCTGAATTTGTCCCTTAAAGTTCTGCCCCCTTCTGTTTTGTCCTGAAAGGCAGAGAAGTCACAGGACTGTCATTCTAGACTCCAGAGCTGGCCTGTTGGTTCCACTGAGAAAAGGAGAATTGAGAACACTGTCTGTTCCTCGCCCCTAATGTAAAACAACTGGAATCCTGAGGAACGGGCCCAGGTCTGACGCCACTCTCACAAACCAGACAGCATAAGTATTCGCTTGTATAATTCTTAGGAAGTCTGCACACCGTGACATTAAACATCAGGACAAGACCTTGTAATGTCTGCCGTCACAAAGCTTTGGCCTGTTGTGGGTTTTTTTGGTAGTGGTTTTTTTGGTTCTTTTTCATATTACTAAAAGGAAAGGTTTTTTGTTTTTTTTAAACAAGTCATAGTACGAAGGATGGAAGATGAGTGTTCTAGGAAGCTCGAATGCAGAATGGTTAATTTAAAATGCCTGTTAAAAGACTTGATTCAGATCAAGCCCTGTTGCTAGTCCCAGATGATTTTTTTTGTTGTGGCCATCAATCTGCTGCTCCCCTCTGCTTTCCTTGCTCAGTCTTTTTCTTTTTTACCCTCTTGTATCTTTTTTATTTTCCTATTCCCTTTTTGTTCTTCCTGGCGGTCTTTCTGTCGAACTTTCCTGTTTTTTATTCCCGCTTCCTGTATATAGACAGGCCATTCCTCTGCCTGCTGGGGCCCCTCCACCCTCAGGACCAGGAGGCTTAACTTGTTTCTATTCATTGTTTGCTTTTGTTATTGCATTTCCCCTGTAAAGTTGTGCTTTTTCTCCTTATTCAGATTCCAAGGAGATAGATCGCAGGAGAGCGAGAATCAAGCACAGTGAAGGGGGTGACGTCCCTCCAAAGTACTTTGTGGTCACCAATAACCAGCTCTTGCGCGTGAAGTACCTGCTGGTGTATTCGCAGAAGCAGCCCAACAGGTAAGAAGGACGGTCGCTGCACGAAGTCCAGGAGGACAGCCAAGGGCTGCGTTCCTGGGAGTGGGTTCCTGGTTGTCAGCGGCCCCTCTCCCTCAGCCTACACCGCAGCTGTGTATGAGATATAGAAAGCACTCTGCTTCATGTAAGGGGTAGGGAGTGAGGAATACAGATTGAATAAAATGTGGTCCTGGCCCTAGGGGACCCTAGGGGACTATATATTCTAGTGAGGAACAGCTTTGTTAACACAAATGACTTGAGGGACTGAATGAAGCTGAGACGTGAGACCTAGGCTCTGATCACAGGCTGAAATCCACTGATTGGGCTGAGCTGAGAGGTAGGGTGGGGCCAGGATTGGGCTGGAATTCTGATTCTTTGCCGTCTGGCTCAGTCACTTTCCACAGTGACTCTCAAACCACCACCTGCTCCTTTCTGGACCTGGGATGCTTCATCTTTATCTCTAAAATTAGAGTATTGAATCCAATAGCAGATGAGGCCATTCTAGCCAGTAAGAATCTGAGAGTGGTGGATTCTTCATGCTGTTCCAGCAGTGTGTATTTGGGGGTTTGGCAGGGCTCTCTGGGGTTGGGGGTCACTTTGAGATTTTGTTGCATTGTTGGGGGCTTAGACTCTACCGTGATAGAGTTTCTCATGGGGATGAGCAACAGGTGAGCAGGTTAGACAGGGAAAGGGTTATTGTTAATACTCCCAACTCCTGCTTGTCAGTGGCTTCTATGCTTCAGGATTCAATAAACTAGTAAAATCGTCTCCCCTTAAATCTGGGAAATATGTACAGGGTTCCTAAGTTTGGGGGACAGTATCCTGTGGTTTAAAATCATCTGGCTTTTTTTTTTTTCTGGCTTTTTCTACTTGAAAATTCCATTCCTTTCCCACTCCTTCCTGCAGTGTCTCTGCAGTGCACATTTGGATGGCTTAGATCATCTCCCAGTGGGTCAGAGAGGATTTCCCCTGCTCAGAGTGATATCTGTGCATGTCTGAAAGTGAAAAGCCTTGTGCTAAATACCCTGCCACCTGCCGCCATCTGGTCATCTGCCTTAGCAAGGTCATCTGTCTAGATACCATAGTCTTGCTTAAGAAAAGACTGGTTATAAAAGGTTCAAGAGGAGCTATAAAAGAAAAGATCAGGATGAGCTCATTGCATAGCTGTCTTTGTACATTTAGAAAATGTTCTGGTGAAAGGCATGTCAGCGCCAGGGCAAACAGCTCCAGATTTTTTTGAGCGAAGGAGCACGCATGAAGCTTCATTTCATGGCTCACTCAGAGGACGAAATTCATCATTTCATCTTCTCTGAGCCAGAAGTCGTTGCATACCCTTTAAAAAAATATTTTTCTCTTTGTTCCAACATCACTCCTCCCCCACCCCCCTGAAGCAGGGCTTCCAGCCAGCTCTCCTGGGTCTCCAGCCATTGGTTTACGGTCATGATCACCCTGTATCTGCTGCTGCTGCTCACAGTGAGTGTCATCAACTCCTCAGCTTTCCAACACTTTTGGAATCGTGCGAAGAGATAATCTTTCTGGGCCTGGTGTGGGGGCCACCTCGATCATGTGCCTTATGATAACTCGTTCTGTACCTCCTGTGCCCCCCATCCAGCCAGGTCGAGCCTGGGGGTCACTTGGGGACCACAGGACAATTTTCATATGCCATAAATGTATCAATTGCCTTTGACGATGCTCTCCACCACTCTTGTCGATGGAGGGCACTGGCCCCTCTTAGCTTTTAGGGGAAGTTTCCTGTCTGTTCTCTCCCTAAACAGTCTGAGGGAGTTGGCTTTTTTGCCAGGGCCAAAGGAGAGAGTCCTGCTGCATTTGAAAACAACGTGTCCAGGCTGTCTGTGGGGTGTTTACAATTGCTTCTGGTGGACATCGGCCCTTCTCGAACGCCTTCTTGGAAGGCAGAAAATGTGTAGTGGGGACTATAAATCACTAGGCAGTTGCCTTGTTTTGACTTGAGACACCCAAGAGGAACAGTCCTGTTTCTCATAAAACTCGGTGGGATCATTTTGTTTTTTTTGTTTTTTTTTTTTTTACAGTTTGTATTTTCTTTTTTTTTTTTCCATTTATTTTTATTAGTTGGAGGCTAATTACTTTACATCATTGCAGTGGTTTTTGTCATACACTGAAATGAATTAGCCATGGATTTACATGTGTTCCCCATCCCGGTCCCCCCTCCCACCTCCTTCTCCACCCGATCCCTCTGGGTCTTCCCAGTGCACCAGGCCCGAAAACTCGGTGGGATCATTTTGAATTCCATCAGCCTTTGTATGCGAGTGCAAAACACTCTTCACAGTTTTCTCACATCAACAAGCAGTCCTCTGCCACAGCTGTAACCCCTCCACCCAACCGTGCATGAGAAAGGAAGGAGTCAGAGACCTGATAAAAACGATGAGCAACTCACGTCGTCTTTTTCTAAAAATTACCAATTGCTGATTACAGCCTAAATGGAACCAAATGTTTGTTTTATGATTAAAAAAAAAAAAACTATTTGACAGTTTGTTTTTGTGAGCTAAAAGGGGATATTTCTAAACCTAGAGCCCCATTTGGCCAGTGACCACAGCCTCTTTCCTGGCCGTGCTTTAGAGAAAAAGGATTTGAGCTGCAGGCCTGCCTCCTCCTCTCGTTCTCACGAAGCTGCCTTGATTGTGGCCCGTCAGCCGCAAGTGCCGCACCGCAGTCCTTCTGGGGGTGGCCGGCCTTTGAAGCAGAGGCTGGCCTCGGTGTGCCGCAGGTGTGTGGGGGCCACGCCTCCCTCCCAGGGCCAGCAGGTCTCTGGGACTCGGCCCGAGCTTTAAATGCGCAGGAAGAGACTCGGACCACTCTGAGAGCACTGGTTCTCCCTGCTCTACTCTCTGCCCCTCCTTCCCGCCAGGGCCAGCCGTCATGGAGCCCTGATTTTGGGGGGAGATTTCTGTAAAGAAGATGGAAAGTCATTTTTCTATAATTTGTGAAGTTGTGAAAAGGCCACTATCATGGTTTCTACATTGAATATTGGAACATTTCAGAAATAATAAAGATATTTTCCTAATTTCCAAGTTGCCTTTGTGACTGCTTTCAGCCTCAATGCGAGGCTGCTGTGTATTCATCATTGTGAAAAATTTCATCCTCTCTTTCCTTCCATGTTTGAGGTGTCCATTTTCTGGAGAGTATATATCTCTAGGATGTCTATAGGCATTACATTTATAGTCATTGATTTAGCAAATATGAGCACCTGCTGTGTACCAGGCACTAGAAACAGGAGCAGCATCAGGTCCAACTACCCCTGCCCTCATGGAACTGACAGTCTAGCGAGGTAGACAGACCAACAGACATTCTCAGGAGTGAAGTCGGCATTATAGGATGTTATAAAGGAGTTCTGGAAAACAGTTGGCAAGGTTATCTTAACATGATCTGGGGTCACCCTGGAGCCTACAAGGCACCTTTCATGTACTGATTTCTTTAATCCTCACAACAGATAAGAAAGTGAAGTACCAGAATGTTGAATAGCTTTCCCAGTTACATGGCTAGGAAGTGGCAGAGCTGAGGGTGGAACCTGGCTTCACTGTCAGTCTCGTAAGCGCCATGCTATACAGCCCCCCTGGGCTCCCAGGAAAGGGGATGTTCACTGACTCCTGAAAAAGCCATCAGAGGTGGAGGAAAAGTGTTTCAGGCAGTGTGAATAGCACGTGCAGAGACATGGAGTTTTTGCTGGAGAAGCTAAAAGCAGGATGGGTCATAAAGGAAGAGGCTATGGTGAGAAGTGGGGCTGGAGAGATAGGCAGGGGCCAGATCATGAAAGACCTTAAAAGCAGTGGGCTGGGGAAAGCCATTAGATTTTAAGCGAGGAAATGACATGATCACATTTGGTTTGCAGAAAAATTACTTTAGCTGGTAGTTGGAGAATGGATTTAGGAATTATTTTGAGGACTAAAAGAATTTGACAGTTACAGTAGAGCAAGTAACTGATATGTTTCAGCTGCTGCTGTTATTGTTATTTGTTTTCAGTGGCCCAGCGGAGGAGATTATAAGGAGGAGCATGCAAAGTAGAGCACTAGTGTCCAGGGACATTGGAACAGTGACGTGTCACAGAAGTGAAAAGGAGGTCTTGGTGAGCAGTGTCAAATGCTGCCGGACAGTCGAGATTATACCAGAGAAGTATTTATTGGATTTACTGAGTTGGGGATCCTTGGTGAGCTTGGCCGGAGCAGTTTCAGTAGAGTGCAGCACACGGGATGTGAACCAAGTCTGACTGTACAGATCTGACAAGAGCACAGTTTCCAGGGGTTGTCAGACAATACTAATTTAAAAACTAGCCCCCCTTTTTCTGAGGTTTCTGTTCTTTTCCACTTTCCAAAAAAAAAAAACAGTTGTACAATACCTGATGTGACTCTGGGACAGGCACTGGGCTTATGATGGGGACAGGAGGATGGTTGAAGAACGGTCCTGACCTCCAGGAGGCTCCAAGCCAACGGGCCCCAGGGATAGATACGTTTCTGTATGAGGGAAGGAAATCGCTGGAGTCTGGAGGGTTGGAATGGATATGAGGGAAGACTAGGACAGGACAGGGCCAGTTTATGACTTTCATGAGCCCTGGGCACTTTTGCCTTCATGGGCCCCTTTATCTAAAAAATATCTAAAATTATACTTTAGGACTGTGTTGGTATAAAGATGAATGTATTACTATTATATACTAAAATGTTTTCCTCCATTTAAAAGCTCATCCCCCCCTACCCCCCCGTTTCTTTAATTGGCTGTACTGGGTCATAGTTGCGGCACCTGGGATCTTAGTTGCTGCATGTAGGATCTAGTTCCCTGACCAGGAATTGAACTCAGGACCCCTGCATTGGGACTGCAGAGTCTTAGCCACTGGACTATCAAGGAAGTCCCTCTTCCACTTTTAAAGGGAATTAAATCCTTTTTGTGATGTGGACTCTAGGCCCTATGCCTTCTATGCCTAGTGGATGAGCCAACTCTGGACGAGGGTCACGGGATAGTGTGGGGTCCTGGGGGGTAGTGTGAGATCCCTGGGTACCTGGGGATAGAGAGGCAGGAAGGAAACAAACCCTAGTCTCAATTCTGTTTAGCACCAACTCCACATCTAAGGCAGATCCTGTAGGCCAACAAGGTCAGGACAGGGCAGAATTGGCTCCTGGGAGTTGAGAGTTCAGGGGGCTCACGCTGCAGACACTTTTCATAGAGGAGGAAGCACCTAAGGACCAAGGGCTCCACCAGGCAGCTGGTGGCAGACGAGACCAGACGGTGGTTCATTTGGAGCTGCCTCTTATTAGAGGCCCAGCTGCCTTGGTCTTGTCAAAGCAACCTCATCAGTCTCTGTCACTAATGCCACTGCCAGGGACGGGGTGAAGGGGACAGTTACGGGAGGTGGTAAGTGGACTTGTCACCGGCTAGGTCCCTGCTTCTGAGGAGTGCCAAGGGTCCCATGAGCTGTCACTTTCCACCACAAAAGGAAGGATTTTACTCTGGGCTTTTGGATAAGTGTACATGTGTATGTGAGAGAGATGTGGAGGAGGGATGTGGCCCATTCTTGTTTCTATTTAGTTAAACACTGATTGCCTGCAAAACCAGTAGTGGGTGGGAAGATGTAATTTTAAAAGCCCAATTCAGATCTTTTTCTTTAGAACTTATCCATCTGAGCCCATTCCTGCTGCTAAGCCTGGGAAGTTTGTCCTGACTTGGAATCAGCCAAGACTCACCCTCCTCATTGCCATGGTGATTCTTGGTAGGGGGTGGGGTGGGGCTGGATCTAGCTCCCTAGAAAAAACCAGGACCAAACCTCTCCCTAATCCCCTTCCACAGCCCTCCTCTCCTGTCCCCTCCACCCTGCCCCACCAAGAGAGTTTTCCATCTCTTGGCCTTTGTTTGTTTTTGCTTTTGTCAGTCTCTCACCTCTGGATGGGTTTCTGTTTATTTCCAAACTGTCTGGGGCCATGCACCAGGGAGACAGTGTCCTGGGCTGCCTCTAGCTCTGATCTGGTTAGAATAAGCCCCTCTCCTTCGCATGAATCTCCAACCTGACATTTGGAACATCCAAAATAAATCATAATATTCTGAAGTAAGATAGAAACCACCATCTCCACCCACTCCTGTTGGCACTCTTATCCACTTGGAAAGAGTTTTTAGAAAATTTCCAGTATTCCACTGCAGTGCCCACATAGCACAGCCCTGAGAAGGGGAAGAAGCATTTACTGAATACCTGCTGTATACCAACCACTGGGCTAGACTTTGCTTGCATTAAAAATCTGGTGGTGAAAGTGATGTTTCCTGCAGTAAAATTTAACTGCAAGCTCTTTGAGGGCAGGGCCCAGGTCATCTGTGTAAACCCAAGTATCTAAGATATGGTGGAAGCTTAAGAAAAGCTTGTTGACTGAATAAATGGATGAAAGGATGAACGAAATTTCTTTGCCATAGTAGAGGGTAATGTCAGCAAAGATGATTGAGGTCAGACAAGAAAAAATTCATTGGTAAGCCAGTACAGGTGGATGAGGGTTTCAGAGAATTTTGTGGACGTTTTTCGGTTGATTTCAGAGTCTCATTCTCTGTCACCAAGAATACCTTTTGGGAGTAGTTTGGGGTGGGGAGGACAGAGTCTTTTATTTTTTATTTTTCATTTATTTTTATTAGTTGGAGGCTAATTACTTACAATATTGTAGTGGGTTTTGTCATACATTGACATGAATCAGCCATGGAGTTACATGTATTCCCCATCCCGATCCCGCCTCCCACCTCCCTCTCCACCCGATTCCTCTGGGTCTTCCCAGTGCACCAGGCCCGAGCACTTGTCTCATGCATCCAACTGGACAGAGTCTTTTAAAAGTTTCATATTTAAAGGCTCAGACTCCAAATGCAAATGGTCCTAAGAGATTAAATTATTGATTTGATGTTTATTCATACACAAGTGTAAATGACTGAAGAGGAAGCCTTTCCTAAGAACAGGTTTTAGTAAGAGTTGAGAAGGGGCTGGGGAATGGTGAGATAGAAATCGCTGGAAGTTCAAGGGTGAGTGGAGTTTTGACCATGTGAGGAGGTAGGGGGAGAGGGCTGAGGCCACTGGAGTCAGACTTACTTGATAACTTAAACCCATTTGGCCCAGTGAAATCAGCCTGCGGTGCTGACAGGCCCTTCTGCCCTGGCGACACTGGTCACTTCAGTCAAACTGCCTGCTGGTGGGGCAGGAAGGAGACAAGGCTGGTCCGAATTCCTGGCAAGTATGGACTGCATACCGTTTAAAGGTATAGTTCTTACTGTTCTCAAGCATGTCCAGGCTATCCCAAAGAGGTCCGTAACACATTGCCTGTCAGAGGTCTGTAGGGATTTAAAACTAGAACATCAATAATATTTTTAGAGGGTTTGTGTAGGCTTGAAAAGCATTTATCATCTTAGTTTCTGACCCACTTATTTCTTTGGTTTGATATCTCTTCTTGTCCCCCGTGGTCCATATCACTCTCCTGGTACCGAATCCACCTTCCCGGTGGGGAACCAGTTTCTTTTTGTTCTCGCTGGATTTTGGTAAAGCTGAAGGCTCCTCCCATCCACACACTTTAGGGGTGGAGCAGTGGCTGAGGCCCGAGCCAATCAGTGAGTTTCAGCCCCACACCTCTGCCTCAGTGATTGGTTCAGACATGGGCATGTGACCCAATCAGGCGCTCCAAGGAGATTTTTTTTTTTCTCGAACTGTGAGGAAAGAGGCTTCTATTCCTCCTGCTGCCATCTTGCTGCCTTGGGAGGCTTTAGGCTGATGCCAACTCAGCTGGAAAGCAAAGCCAAGAGGGGAAGAGGAACAGGGTCACGATGATGATGTTTGAGTACTGAATGCACTTATGCCTGGAGCTGGATTTTTCACTTAAGACCAATGTGGTGGTTTAGTTGCTAAGTCGTGTCTGACTCTTTGCGACCCCATGGACTGTAGCCTGCCAGGCTCCTCTCTCCATGGGATTCTCCAGGCAAGAATACTGGAGTGGGTAGTGATTTCCTTCTTCAGGGGATCTTCCCAACACAGGAATCGAACCTGGGTCTCCTGCGCTTCAGACAGATTCTTTACCGACCGAGCTACGAGGAAAGCCCTGGTAGCTCAAATGACCAATTAATTCCTCTTTATTTAACAGAGTTTAAATTGGGCCTTGTGGAGAATACAAGGACGGAGTCCATAACTTATACCCACTGTCATCTCCGGTGCTCTGTTATTTTTGGTGTAGACCTTTTATTGAATATATAAAGATGTGGTTTTCAGATATATGAGTCTGAATTGTTGAATTTTGACAGTCCGCACCCCTGGACTATACCCACAAGGCACTCAAACCAGTGCAAAATGAGAATTGGGCAACACACATACAAAACACCATATTCTGGGGTATTCTGCAGCCTTAGCATCAGGGTGTTTCCTTGGGTCACCTTGCACTTTTCCAGAAAGTCTTCTGGCCTAGGGAACCCCAGAGTACTCTGAGGTCTGTGAGGAGCAGAGGGGAGATGAGACCAGGGCTCCGGGTTATAAATTATACTGGCGCATCTTGGCCCTCCAGAAAACCAAAGGTTGACTCTGTAGCAATAGAAGGAATGAGGGAGAAAGGCACACCATTTATTAAGTGCCTCCTGCATGATGGGCATATCGAAAGAATTATTTGATCTTCACAGTGTCCTTTCAAGGCAGATACCATTGCCTTTATTTTACAGGAGAAGAAAGAGGCTTGGAGAGGTGACTGCCCAAGGTGAAAAAGCCCGAAAGAGGCAGAGCCAAAGCTGACTCTAGAGCTGAAATAATAAGACAGGTAAATGCGAGGCCGCAGGTAGAGGAGCTGCCTGAGCAAAAGGGATCTGGGCTGATGGGGTAGGAGGCTGGAGTGGGCAGCACCAGGCTCAAGGTGTGCCAAGGAAGCTCACTTCCCAGGCAAAGACCGTTAGCTCTGCCATGTCTCATAAGCAGGGTGCACCTGGATGCTGGAAATGGGCACAGGGGAGGTCTCCCCTGACTCCCACACTATTAGTGAGAGCTTCAGGCTCAGCTTCATTCACCTTTCCAGCCCCATCATTGCAGACCCAGGAGGTGAGCTCTGAGGGGCACATGGCACTGCATGTGGGGCACAGAGGGACGGCCTCTCCTTTCCACCCCCACTGCCTGCTCAGGGATTGGGCCATCAGCCTGCTCTGATTCAACTGACTTCTTCTAAACCTTGCATCCAGGGGCTGCCAGCGGCCAAATCCCCCTGGTTGTCTGAGATGTTCTCGACATCAGAGAATAAACAGTCTCCCCTGTCCAGCCAGCTGTGCTGAGCAGCATTCCTGTCTCCCAGCCTGCTTGGCCGGGTGGGGCTGCAGCCCTGCGTCCACCTCCAGCAGAGGCCTTGGGGGGCCTGGTGAGTAGCTGGAAGGGGGGGGGGTGACCATCTGTGTTCAGACTGCACAGCACATTCCTCTGCCTGAGTCCCCATTTCGCCCCCCTGCCAAGCACCTCAGCCACTCTTGGCACAGGCTCTTTATTTGTAGTAATGACTCTTGTGACTTCAGACAAGGTCAAGACAAGGCTACTGTCCTTAGGTTTGGAGCCCCTTCACCCTTGCCCAGAAAGCTGCCTGTGGAATTTGAAGCTCCCACATTATTCTAGGTAGATCTGAAGGCATCACACCTCTAAGGCTTGTTTTACAGAGGTGGACATCGTGAGTCAGTGCAGAAGCAAGGCTAGACCCCAGGCTTTTTTATTTTTTTGCTGTCCACTGCCTTGGAATGTTGTGGCTAGAATGACGTGAGGGGCTCTGGGTGAGAGGGGTGGCCCATGTTTTTGGAGAGGAGCAGAGGTGTTTTCATCCTACGCCTGTTTTGGAGATCAGGCTTGCGGCTGAGCCATTTCCTGAGGAAGCAAGGTCTCTGGAAAAGCACTGTTCACCCGCGCCTCCTAAATCATCCTGTTGGGAGTGGAGCTGGGGCAGCAGGACCTGAGTGGGGCTCTGCCACGTCCAGAATCCAGCGCCCAGTTGAGGCTTGGCCAGGGTATAGAAGGTGGCCAGGGCCAGAGGGCAGATTACTTGGGAAGGGGATGCCCTGGCCAGCACACACCATCTGCTTTTCTGCCCTAGGGCTCTGGCCTGGGACTGCGGGGGAGGAGAGAGAATACCTCAGCCAGTCTGCAGAGAGAATTCCTCTAAGAACCCCCTCTGGCCGCAGTGTGGGAACCCAGGGTAGCCTGGGGGTCTCTGTGGACGGCTGTTTAACTTTCAGTCTGTCTTGGCCGCCTTCTTTTATCTTTGTCTAGCTGCATGTATCTGTGGATTTATGTGACTGTTCCACGTTTGTGTAGGCAGCTGCATTTCCAGTTGGAATTGAATTCCTCGGGG